GCATTGCACAACACGGGTGCACTTACCTATATGCAAGCAATGCACACATACACATAAAATAAAAATAATAAATAAAAAATTTAAAAGTTATATGTTATTGGTATTGTATATGTTTTTGTGTTTTGGTGTGAGACAGTCATAGTATGAGCCATATTAACTATCCAGTAACCTTTAATGCTAAGAAGGAATGAGACGAAATAAGAGTTGGAGGGTGGGGGGTGGACTGAGGGACTTTGGCCTGAACCAGGACTTGGTGGAATGGGTAGTATGAGAAAGGTTCACTTGGCTTCAGTTCCTTTTTTTTAGGTTAGCTGATGGAAAGAGTATTTATTTAATGTAGTTACTATTTTCGTCAATGACATATGTCTTTTGATTAAAAACCAGTACTAGAACTGGTCTGTAACCAAATATAATAATAACTTTATTTTTGGAGTTTGGAATTATTTGACACTACATTTTAGTATTTGCAGAAACAAATTAGATTTCTTCTTTGTAGCTTAGCCCTGAATTCTTATAGAATTTCAAATATTTTTTAAATGAAATTATTATCAGAGAACTAAAGTGAAAATTCTTTTAGTCAAAAGCTGCTGACTTGGATTAAAGTTATTTTACTTTTTAATTGTATAAATGACACTGTTAATGACATATAGTAATATGTAATGTTATACAGTAATACAATAAATGACTTTACTATAGTTTTGTGATTCCCTGTTTGATCAAGTATTTTGATTTTTCTGCTTTACAATTTTTTTTATTTAAAAGTTTTTTTTTAATTGAGTTTTTTTTAAGATTTTATTATTTTTATTTTATGTGTATTCGTGTATTGCCTCCCGAGTGCACCCATGTTGTGCAATGCCCATAGAGGACAGAAGAAGATGTCAGATCCCCTGGAACTAGAGTTACGGACAGTTGTTAGCTGCCATGTGGGTGCTGGGATTCGAACCCGAGTCTTCTGCAAGAACAGTCAGTGTTCTTAACCATTGAGCCATCTCTCCAGCCCCTCTGCTTTACATTTTATCTTCAGCAATATACTTCTTTTTTCTCCATGAAAGAATCCATTAGTTCTAAACTTTATATTTGAGTGTTTGACTAGCTTGGGCCTATGATCCCAGCTACTTAGTGGCTGAGGCAGGAGAATCACAAGTTCAAGGCCTTCCTGGGCTCCAGAGATGAGCATGCTGTGAACTTGAGTATTGGCATAGCTGTTTATTGGCTTTCATTGATTTATGATATCTGTTAAAAGAATAAAGATGCCTTTCTGTTTCCTTGTTCTGTAGATATATTATGGAAATAGAATGTTAACCACAGAACATCAATAAAATGTAGGTTTGGGGCTGCTGGACTTAGATAAAGTAGCTGTCATTTTGGTGTTTTTCCTGTCTGATGAGTATTTTTGCACTTATGAATTCCTTAGAGCACCTGCTTTTCTGTAAGGAGAAAATGTTTGACTTTCAGTGACAGATGCAAATTGTCTACATGATTTTAAATTAAGACTTGAAGTAAATAGGGAAAAAATAGTGCCCGAGAAGTGACTAAATATATACTTGATGGTAAAATGCTCTTCATTAGCCACTTGAGTGTGAAAGCACTGTTTAGAATTCTTTATTCTCTTGGCTATTCCCCAGTTCAGTTCATGATGGTCTGACTCTCAGGCAGCATTTGCCTGTTTTCATTAGCATCACTGAATTAACCTTTTTATGGAAAAATTTAATTTCTTATGTGCATGTGTGTGTGCCACTGAGCTTTTGCTATAGGAGTGCTGGGATTACAGATGCGTGTCACCACATACAGAATATTCCCAGGGTACCAGGTATCAAACTCAGGTCCTCAGGAGTACATGACAAGTGCTCTTACCTGCTGAGCAGATGCCTGGCCCCTGAATCTCTCTTAAGTAGTTGTTTGTTTTACTTCAAGTCTGTTCCATGGAGGGAAACAGAATATCAAATCACCATTATAATAGTAGAAAAGCAGCAATTGTTTATTCCCCTTTTCTGAACAGTTTCCTCCTTGTATCTGTTTCCTTTATTAAATCTTTCCAGATGTTTGAGTTGAGCTGCTTTGGCCCACCGATTCTCGTCCTCTTTTGTCACTTCCAGGTCCTTCCTCAGCGTTCACTGCACAGCGTGTAGCTTTGTACTCAGTACTTTGCTCTAAAGCCCTCATTCAGGATCCTACTGATCTGGAGAAAAGGAAGGGCCGTAAACTGACTTTTTATTTTTTTTGGTCTTGAGTCTTTTTTTTTAAAAAATATTATTTTTATTTTATGTGTATGAGTGCATTACCAGCATATATGTAAGTGTACCCATGTTGTGCAATGCCTGCAGAGGTCAGAAGAGGGCATTGGATTCCCTAGAACTGGAGTTATGGACAGTTGTTAGCTGCCATCTGGGTGCTGGGAAATGAACCAGAGTCCTCTGCAAGAACAGCCAGTGCTCTTAACTGCTGAGCCATCTCTCCAGCCCCATTTTGAGTCTTTTAAAGCTTCTTTCTTCAATATTTCTTATACAACATATAGACGGTGCCACCTGGAACAACATTACGAAGCCTAGAACAAATTCACCCAGCGTTTGTTGTTCTGTTGTCGTGCTGCCTTGCCCTCCAGGTTACAAAATATTACCTTTTCATGTTCATTCTATTCAAACCATTTGATAGTGATAGTTTCCTGGAGAATAGGGAATAGTAGACTTATAATATACTAGCATCCTTTGTGTATGAGAGAACAACTTCCTGTGGTCCTGTCACTCTGGAGTGCTGAAGTATGAGGCAAAGGATTGTATTTCAAGAAAAATCACTGGACAGCTTAGACTGGATTTTTTTAGAGACAGTCTCACGTAGTCCGGGCTTCTTGAACTTGCCACGTAGCTCAGACTGACCTTGGACTCGTGCTCTTCCTTTCTCATCCCCCCAAGTTCTGAGGTCACAGCCACCACAGCCAGTTTGCAGGTTGAACTTCAGTATCACCACTTAGAGCTTCCTGGGCTTGGTCAAGTCAGACAACCTTTTAAAATAGCAGTCTTCTCATTCTACATTTAAATTACTCATCGATGAGATGTGTTCTTTCTTCCTCCCTTCCTCCCTTCCTTCTTTCTTCCTTTCATGTGTCTCACATTCTCTATGTGGCTCAGGTTGGCTTCAAACTTGAAGCAATTCTCCCGCCTCCAAGTGCTGTGATTATAAGTAAGTGATACCACAGCTGGTGATGGAAGTGATTTTACCCTGTGAGATACTCTGCATATTTTAAACCAGCATTGTTGATGTTTTGGTATTTTTAATATATAGTGCTAAAGGTAGTTATTCAGAATTCACATTTCCTGATGAAACGAACTTGGGCAAAATACAGTTGGACTGGCAATTTCAGAATTTTCACAAAGAAAGGAACCAATAAATACTTTTTCTGGTATATATTTTCATGGATCATATCCTAAACACTTCCGTGATTAAAAAAAATATATATGCATACATATTTGAAATAATAACCATAGCCTCCAATGTACTTTTTACTCAGTTTAAGAAGTGGAACATTAGAAGTTCTTGCTCTAAACTCACCAAAAATAAGGACTTTAAAATATTTTATTTATTATTTTTATTTTATGTGTATGAGTGTATTGCCTGCATGTATGTGAGTGCACCCATGTTGTGCAATGCCACAGAGGTCAGAAGAGGGCTTTGGATTCCCCTGGAACTGGAGTTAAGGATGGTTCGTAGCTGCCATGTGGGTGCTGGGAGTGGAACCCCGGTCCTCTGCAAGAGCAGTCAGTGCTCTTAACCGCTGAGCCATCTCTCTAGCTCCAAGAATCAGGACTTTAAATACCTCTTCTATGCTGTGCTTATATTCTCAAATTTATATGTGTGATTTGAGTTTCTCCCCAAAGCTCTAAACTCTGTAGATACAGCTGTCTACCTGGTATGCCCACTTGGACTCTAATGGGCATCTGTGCTGGTTGATTTTTGTCAGCTTGACATAGACTAGAGACACCTGAGTTGAGGAATTTCCTCCCTCAGATTGGCCTTTGGACGTGGCTGTGGAGCATTTTCTTGATTGTTGGGTGATGTGGGAGGGCCCAGCCCACTGTGGACAGTGCCACCCTGGGTAGGTGGTCCTGGGTCCTGCAAGAAAGCAGGCTGAGCACAGGCCAAGGGAAGTAAGCCAGTAAGCATTCCTCCTTGGTCTCTGCTTCAGTTCCTGCTTCCAGGTTCCTGCCTTGAGTTCCTGCCATGCCCTCCCTCTATGATGGATTGTAAAGTATAAGATGAAATAAACCATTTCCTCCTTTGGTTGGTTTGGTCAGTGTTTTATCAAGCAACAGAAAGCAAATAGAGCAGCATCTCAGACTCCTCAGCTCCAAAGCTCAGCTCTAGATTTCCGTTCCCACTGTTAAACTCTTTGTCATTGTCAGCTCAGTTCACGCCAACTCTGTCTTTTCTAGTTGAAAGCCCTCTGCTGATTTCACCTTCTAGTTACAGGCAAAATTGTGGCACTGTCTGGCTGTCCTGTTACCTTTTCGTCTCCTCTGTTCTCTCATTCTTTTCTAGCCACGCTGGTGTCTCCAGACATGCTCCTTAGCTTGTTGGGCTTAGTCTAACCTTTCTTTTTTTTTTTTTTGTCTTTTTGAGACAGGGTCTCCCTACAGCCCCAGCTGATCTGGAACTCACTATGTAGGTTCTGACCTTCCTTTTTAAAGACCAGGGCTTTCTGATCTTTTCCTTATATATATGGCTCTAGGCTGTTAGACCTGAGTTAAAGCTGCCCAGCAGATGCTCACTTTAGAGTTCTGATTGCTTATTTAATTTTGAACCCTTCCATCTTTTGTGTTCCACAAGAAATTACTTCATCTTTTGCAAGTTCAATACATCATTTAAAATGTTATATTTTGTCCAGCATTTTAAGTGGCTTTATCATTCATTTTGCTAGAATTGAAAGTCTAAGGAATTTTGATTTGCCAGTTAAACTAAATCATTGATTTCCCTGAATAATTTTATTTTTCTTTCTTGGATTAAAGGATGGAAGACTACAGACAGGCGACTACATCTTGAAGATTGGTGGCACAAATGTACAGGGAATGACCAGTGAACAAGTTGCTCAAGTGCTAAGGAACTGTGGGAATTCGGTCAGGATGCTTGTGGCTAGAGATCCTGTTGGTGAAATTCCAGTATCACCTCCTCCTCCTGTATCCTTACCTGTTGCCCTGCCTGCTGTAGCCAACAGGAGCCTTGCTTCTGTGAGTCTAAAAAATCATTCTTTCTTCTTAAGTCAAATGCTGCCCATGATACAAGATAAGAAATCCTTTCATCTGGCAGACCACATTGGTGTGAGTCACACCTCGGTGCTTATGAGAGAAGCCGAGGAGAATTCAGTATGGAGGCACATATTAGACATGTCTGATTTTTGCTCTTTTCTTCCTCCATTTTCTTTCTCTCTTTGTTACTGTCTTTTTGTGTGTGATATGTACATGTTTGCGTGTGTGCAGGCACAGTCACATGTATGTGTATGGAAGTGAGAGGTCAATGTTGGGGTGTTTTTCTCTATAACTTTCTACCTTATTTTTGAGACAGGGTCTCTCACTGAACCTGGAAGTTGCCATTTTACCTAGACTGGATGGCGAGCAAGGCCCTGGGATCCTTCTGTCTCTGTTTCCCCAGTGCTGAGATTACTGGCATGTGCTATGGCACCTGGCTTTTTTTGTCATGTGCTAGAGACCTGAACTCAGGCCCTCAAGCTTGCACAGCAAGCATTTTGCTGACTGAGCTATTTCTCCAGCCTTCCTCCTTTTCTTCCTCTTCCTCCTCCTCCTCTTTCCTCCCCCCTCCTCCTCCCTCTCCTCTTCTTCCCCTGCTCCTCTCTGCTGCTGCCCCTACTGCTGTTGTTTAAACCTTGGAGCCTTCAGATGGTGGTAGGGAAACTGAATACTGGTCACTGTATGAGAATTATCACTGATAGAAATGAACTGGCTGAGAGGAATGAATAGTATTAATAATAGTTACTGTACTCATGAACAAGTAATTATTATAGCTAATAATCATCAGCCATTGTTTAGTGCCTGGTGTGGTCCACATTCTTGACAATGAAGTCCCTGTGTAGCTCTTCATGATGTGTCTATTGACCATTAGCAAAAGAGGAAACTAAGCTCAAACAACTTGCTGTAGACCTATAAGGTATCAGTTGCAAAAGCTGGGATTTCAATTGAAATTTTTAGGTCCATGCTACCCTCCTCCAAGTCTTATAAACCCTGAATAAAAGCATGAAGAGGGAGGCGGAGGCAAGAGAAGAGCAGAACTGTAATGGTAAAGGAAGGCCACCAGTTACACTTTGAGGGATCTCTCTGTCTTCTTGAAAGATGCTTACCTGCTTCTACTAGGAGCCGTATGGATAGGAGTTTTCCTTCTATGATGTTAGAGCTTTTTTTGTTTAATTTCTCCAAGTTGTAGCCATAACCATTTTCTGTTCTCTTCATTTCTTAAGACTCAAGTCTTCCAGTAAAAGACCACAAGGCTGTGTGATTTGTGGAGACTTGGCCCTATCTGTTGTTTACTTTGTGACATTAATGCTTGGAATTGAAAGCAGAGTATTAGGGTTAGATGCCTTACTCCATTTCAAAAATATGTAGAAGACAAGTATTATTAGGACCAATTTTTAAAAAAATTTTATTTATTCTTTGTATTTTATGTGTATGTATGTATTGCCTGCATGTAGGTAAGTGCACCTGTGTCGTGCAATGCCTGTGGAGGACAGAAGAGGTCATCAGATCCCCTGGAACTGGAGTTACAGACAGTTGTTAGCTGCTGTGTGGGTGCTGGGTTTTGAACCAGGTCTTCTGCAAGAACAGTCAGTGTTCTTAACCCCTGAGCCATCTTTCCAGCCCCAGGACCAATTTTAAAGTATTATATATAGTAACTAACTAGCCTTCCCTTTGGTTTCTAAATTTTTCATTATGCTTGTGATTCTTTCAGAAAAACAATACAACCTGAGGTTTTTCTAAATGGCTGTATTAATATTTTCTGTTGTCATATTACAAATTGTTACAAATTTAGCAGCTGAAGACAGTAGCTTTTGTTAGTTTGCAGTTCTTTAGGTCATATTCAGGTAGGCTTGGCTGGGTTCTCTGCTTAGATTCTTAGAAAGCCAAAATGGGGACTGGAGAGATGGTTCAGCAGTTAAGAGCACTGGCTGCTCTTGCAGAGGATCCGGGTTTGAGTCCCAGCACCCACATGACCGCTAACAACTATCCTAACTCCAGTTCCAGGGGCTCTGATGCCTTCTGACCACCACAGCATTGCATGACATGGGTGCACTTACATACATGCAGGTAGTACACTCATACACATAAAAAATGCAAATAATAAAAATTTTTTTTAAAAAGTTCAAAATGAAGGTATTGGCTTGCCTGGGCTCTTTTCTTGAGAACCTGGTAACAACGTACTCCTAAGCTCATTCAGGTTATTGGCAGAAAGCAGCTCTTGTGACATAGGACAGAGGACCCTTTTCTTTGTGGGTCATCATCCAGAACACCTTTCAGGCCCCTAACCCTTGTCCCTGTTCCTTTCCATCTGACCCCTCTACCTTCAAACCACAAGTTAATCTCTTATATTTAAAATCTTTTTCATTTCCCTTCTGTTACAAAGCTCTGCTTTTTAAAGGGCTTTTGTGATTAGATTTAGGCTCACCTCAATAATCTCCCTTTGGCCACATGATTTAGGAAGCCACAGGAGGCCGGGTGTGGTGGTACAGGCCTTTAATCCCAGCACTTGGGAGTCAAAGGCAGGTGGATCTCTAGTGAGTTCAAGGCCAGCCTGGTCTACATAGCGGGTTCCAGACCAGCTGGGGCTATGGGGACACCCTATCTCAAAAAAGACTTAAAAAAGACCCACAGGGATCTGAGGTCATTGTAATGATTTTAAAATTTGGTCTGTCACAGAAAAAACTTGGCAAACCTTGAATAAATTGGCTATGTACACAGTTATGTAACTAAATATATAATATTAAGTTTATTATTTCCCTTCAGGACAGCTCTCATTTTGAAACTTACAATGTTGAACTTGTTAAAAAGGATGGACAGAGTCTTGGGATTAGAATTGTTGGCTATGTTGGAACAGCTCATCCAGGTAAATTAATCATTTCTACTTTATATTTGGAAATAATGATAAAGGATGTTAAAGTTTCTAGATAATAAAATTAAGTACCTGCAGATTTTAATTTAAACCCTGAACAATAAAACCAGGAATCTATAAAAGCAGCCAGTTATTTTTAAGTGATTAGAGAATCACATTTTGTTTCAGTTGTTTAGTGACTGGATTTTGGTCATTAACGAAGGAATTTAATGGTGCAGCTCATTATGTAACATTTAGATTTTACTTCCTTTTGTTTCTAAAATAGTTGTATTTTTAATACTCTGTGAATGTTAATATACAGTATTATATTTGGGGTAAAATAAGTTGATTACTGCATATTACTGTATATTGTGAATGTACAAAATATTTGTTTAATCATGAAAAAATAAGATAAATATTTCATTAGATCTATTTTTTTTAATATTAAGACAATGTATTGTGAGACTATAGGACTCAAGTATCTGAGTAAGATTCTCTCAGATGTTACCTGAAGATTAGCCTAGTAACTTTCAGTTTTTCCTTGATTATAAAGGAATTGTATGGATAGATAAAAAAAAACTTTAAACATATTTGATATTTACATGAACACTTAGGTTGAAATGTTTTAGTTTTTTTGGAAAAACAGCAAGGATAGAGAGGGTTTTTTTTTTGTTTTTTTTCTTAAATTGTTTTCTTGCATGCTCAGAGCAGGTGGGGAGATTAATAGTGCTAATGTATTCACAGTGCTGAGTGAGATTCAGGCCACCTTGTGCTATTTTAGCCTAATGAAATACCTTTTTTCAAAACTTTAGATTTTTTCTAAATGTAACCTTTTTAAATTCAGAATTTAAATAAGTCCCCAAAAGCTAACTATGGATTATAAAAAAATAATGGTGCAGAAAACACATTGAGTAGTTGTCAGTATATCACACCTTGTTAAGGAGTCCTAACTGAATCCCTAAACTCGTGGCTTAGTGTGTAAGCAAAAGTGAATGAATGAGTAATGGGGCATTTGAAGTTTGTGTGACGGAACAAAGAAAATAGTCCTATTACTTCTCTACTCTCAAAACATTTCTGGGATTGGGTATTTTTGGGAGGATGAGCAGGAGAATTAAACTAGACATTTTAAAAGTCAGCAGCTATTTTGACACGTATAAAAATACAAAAATAATTTTTACTTTATTCTAATTTTTGTGGTGGTTTTATTTTATATTTTATTTTATGTGTGTGTGTGTGTGTGTGTGTGTGTGTGTGTGTGTGTGTGTGTGTGTGTTGGGGATCAAACCTTAAGTAAGTGTTCTACCTTTGAGCTACAACTCCCATTTTCCCCTGCCTTTTTAGACAGGGTCTTGCTGTATAGCCCCATGCTTACTTACAGTCCTCCTGCTTCAACTTTCCAAGTGTCAGGATTCCAAGGGTGTAGCACATGCATGGTTTATTTTTATTGTCTTCATTTATTTATTATTATTTTATATGTATAAGTTTTCCTTACATTTATATAAGTGCACTGCATGTGCAGTGCCCATGGAAGCCAGAAGAGGCCATCAGATTCCTTGGAACTGAAGTTAAAGATGGTTGTTAGCTGCCATGTGGATGCTGGGAACCAAATCAGGGTCCTTTGCAAGAGCAGCCAGTGCTCTTAACCGCTGAGCCACCTCCCCAGCCCCTGGTTCATTTTCTGTGGGACTTGTGTGAGGTTACTTTGCTTAGTTCTCAAAGAGATAGAGAAATGGGTATAGGAAAAGTCAGCAAGCAGGCATGGTGACTTGTGCCTGTAATCCCAGTCACTTAAGCAGCTGAAATGGAAGATCACTTGATCCCTTAAGTTTGAAGCCAGTCTGGACAACAGAGAGAGAGAGAGAGAGAGAGA